AAAAAAGGCGCCAGAGAACTCTACGAGAAAGCTGGCCAAAGACTGAGCCAATATTTCCCCACAGGGATGATTAAAATTTAATCTTATCTTAGCAGAATCATTGCACACTGCCAGTGAGTGGCGAGTTTTAATCCAGCCCCTGTAGTATTTATATTAACCTTCTAATTTTCATATGAAAAATAGATTCACATTCACTCCACAGGCACAAACAGTAGAAGTGAAGACTAATTTTACTTTATTCCTGCATGGATAAGAGTCTTATCGTCTTCCGGTTGGCAGCATTTCCATTACCCCCCACCTTTACACACAATCCTTGAATCCCAATTCAGCCTCACATGCCTTCCCAGGCAATAGTCAAGATATCGAAGGCGAATAACTTATTGCTATATGGCTATTTATTAAATTCCTTATTTTAGCTAGGTAGATGCAAATGATGCCATCTAGCATCACAGATCCTAACAGAGCGGTAAACAAATTGAACATATCCAGGCTTTCATTGCATTAGCTGACTTGACACAACCTAAAACACCAGTCAGAGATAACAAATATCCCGACGGTGGGTATCAACTTTGTTAACTCAGGGTTTTTGCGCCTCACATAAAAGGGGTCGTTTGATGGGTCATTTGACTCTTCCTCTGCACAAAGTGGATCAGCTGAAGCACTGTCTGAAATCTATAAAGAACAAAAGAAATAAGTGAAATGACACACTTGCTACACATGACAGTAATGTGGGAGAAAACTGCTAACCTTGTGATGTGATCACCACAAGTGCACAGAGTGCTAAAATGTATAATCTCAAGTTGATTATTTTAACCACTCAGTGCATTGTTACTGCAGCCATTTACTTCTAAAAAGGCAGCTGCACATTAGAGTTCAGAAACTTTAACATGCATACATCTAAACAGCCACATTTGACCGTCTTAACCTTTAAAAAAAAAAGAAAAGAACAAAAAATAGATGTGGAAAAATCACTTTGATTTGTGAAATCAAAGTGAAATTGAAACAGCTGAATGTTCTGTGATTAACAGCCTACAAATGTGGCTGATTATTTTAACTACTCCAATAGCAGCTAATGGAACAGATTCATTCAGTGGTGTTGGTTAAGGCACAACTTAAAGCATAATTTATGGTCGAGCAAATATGTCCGTCTGTGTAGACGTTACCACTCGTACAGCGGGGGAGAGGGGCTTTCACTCACTGCAGATGGGCTCCCATGCAGTTCTCCAAAATTCAACTGCACGTCGCTGGAAGCAGATGCTGTATGCCACTGCCAATGCCGACTGTTTGACAAGTGAGCCGGAATAGAGAAGTGAGCGACAGCGGAGTTCACTGGGAAAAACCGCAAAACAACAACATTTTGCTCTATATTCATGCTGTACTTTTTTTTAAAGACAAAGCATGAAGAGTACCGACAGTGGCTGCAGTGGAAACTTCATGTTTAACACTCCGTTTCACTTTAGCAGTTTGTATGTTGTAACTTCGCTCTTCTTCACTACTGGCTGACGGACCAACAACAGCACAAGCAAGAGTGGCCCGCAGACCGGCTGTACCACATACTTTGTACACTGCTTCCATACACAGAGCCCTCTGCAGGCAGATGGGCCATCCCCAGACCGCCCGCTGTCTGTGAACACGCTCTCCCTGCTGAACCATAAATTCTGCTTCAGTTGCTTATATACACTGTGTTCCTCCAGGAAACAATCATTTACAGGATACAGCAAAAAGATGACAAAATGAAGATTTAAAACCAAAACTAAATGCTTCTAGCCAGGTCAAAAGAGCCACCTTCGTGACACTAAAAACTGACTTTAGGCTTCTCAACTTTAGATCCTCAAATGGCTGATTTGAAATTCAGTGGGCATATCTCAGTGGTCCACAGGCTCCTCATCTCATTTCTTCCACTTACAAAAAGCAGTCAATGCAATATCATTTAGAGCTTTACATCCTGAAGCTGTCTTAATGAGGGGAAGAATATGCAAAAGGAGACACTTAATAGACATCTGAGATGCACCACAGGATTATAACATGGGAAAGGTCCAGGTCTTACAAGTGTGCATATGTTAAAGCCGACTACTGTATCACCTATACTTCCAGTTTAATGTATATGTAATGGGTATACTATTCAGCATGTACTCAAGTCATTAATCACTTTGGATATTTTAATTTAACTGTATTTACAAGATTATAAGCATCTCAATCCTTAGCTGTAAAACCTCTGCAAACCTGGAACATCCCCATGTCACAGCATTCACTCTGAAGCCCCGTCCCACGCCCACCCTGTGCATTCCCAACGGGCTTGCGCCCTGAGAATGCAGTCCCCTGCCCAGTACTCACCCTGCCACAGTCCCTCCCTGTGTCTGTACTCACCCGGCCCCCATACTGTAGCATGGGCGCTGGGAGGACACGCCCTGTCACCTCTGTCATGTCATTATGCACAACAATGCCAAATTCCTTCAGGTAAGGGTCGGGGCCCCCGACCATGCTGTTACTTTTGACCTGAGAAAGAGAAAGGAAGACCAGTTCACAGGAATCACAATACAATCAACCTGCCAGGGACTGGCATTTGAAAATGTACAGATAAATCTAGTATACTGACAATGACAACTGTGTTCATTGCCCCTTTTAAATAAATACACTCAAGTCAGACACTCAAATTTCTAATTTTCCTTTAGACATGGTTGGGTTTGAAGCAGTTGCTATAACTAAGCAAACAATTAAAAATACAGCATGATGATCCAGCCCCCAATGCCTCCTCAAACAGGGAACCAACTCTCACCAATCTGCTGATCTCTTCCTGTCTGTCGGGGGCTGAACGAGCTGTAGCTTTAATCATGGTTGATGTCTGGTTGTCGGTCAGTTTCTTGATACAGCGCTGGCCTGCTACTATGTTACAGACCTGCAGGAGGAGGAATGGGCATTTCATTAATTAAACAAAAATCAGATAAGAGGAGCAGCAGTGGGCAATCTGAAAAGGAAAAAATGTCACAACTTTTTATTAAAGGTATACTGCGTGAGAACATTTTCCATCTCCCCCCCCCCCCCCAAAAAAAAAGGGGGGTTTTCTCACCTCTAGGGGAAGGTAGGTGTGCTTCTGTTCCTGTCCTACTTGCAAACAGGGTAAGTGTGGATACTTGAGCTGTAGATTGTACTTCTGCTTGAAATACTGAGCTACTGTGCACTCCATGGCTTGGCCGTTCTCAAGCTGTAAGGGGAACCTGTGCATAAATGGAAAATGTGTGCAAGCCACATTGAAGTCTCCGTGAGTATGAATAAATAAGAAAATGTTTGCCTAGTTTAATTCTACATTTACAACACTTATAAGGGTATGACTTTGGTACACTTTACTACAGTGCCTTTGCTGATGAGTGCAGGATTGCTACTTACGTCTGATGGCTGGCAGGTCGGCGCGTGACATTGCAAACTCGATACTTCCTCTTCATCTGACCACAGTGTGTGACTTCAACTTTCAAACCTGTTTAAAAACACACCAAGAATAATTGCAATGTCTGGATAGATTTAAAAAAAAAAAAAAAAAAAAAAAATTAAAACATTACTGTGTTTGCCTTTAGCAGGTTTAGCAGTCTGGTTTTTTTGAGGCCATAAGAAATATCAATGCTGACAATCCAGCTAGATATGCCTTTTCTTTAGACAGAAAAGTGTGCTTATACAAGCCCCACAGAGGCTAGAGAAGTGAAGAACGGAAAAAAAAAAAAAAAAAGAAGTTTGATTTCAAGTTTAACTATCTGGTTCTGAATTTCAACAAAAACATGTCAGCAGCTTCTGCTCTTTGTTGTGCAACTACCAGTTACAACATGTGAGGCTAAAGAAAGATCAAAACTGGTCAAAGAAATGTTTCTGTATTTTTGCTTAAAGAGAAAGTACTTTGATTTCCGCCAGTTGATTTAGATATAGCAGGACTGCATGACCCAGTTACCAGAGTGGATTTCTTTGTAACTTTTTATGGAGTGCGGAAGAGTTAAAGAGTCTAAAGTCATTCATAACGTGATAATGTGTGTCACTGACCTCCCCGGTCTGGCAGATTCTAAGCTCTTAATTCAGTTGGTGGTTGTGAGTGCTCACCTCTTATTTCCTTGGTGAACTTGACACGTTGTGAGTCAGTCAGTGGTTTGGTCTGTTCATTGATGTTTTGTATATCAAGCACCTCGCACATGAACTCGATCACAGGCTGAGCACGGTAGAAAGCAGTAGCTGATACTGTTAAGGAAAAAAGAAAGTTATTCAACTGGTTTTATAAATCAGTAACTGAGGAAAAATGAATAGCAGTCAATACAGAAAAGCAAAGATGAACGAACCAATTAAAAATCCAGACCCGACAGAAATTTTTGTCAACTTCGCCATTTCAAGACCAAACACATAACAGCCTTGTGTGCTTCTGTGAACCAATACCTTGAGCTGTACTTTACAGGTGCAAAAGTTCAATGGAGATACTTGTGTTTAGGGCACCTTTCACTTTTACCCTTAATTATCTACCTTTATTTACCTTTTCAGATTCATATTATAAACACAACATGATTTGTAATGCATCTTATAAAGCAATATATTATGATGCTTTGCTAACATACTGAAACTTCATATGAATTGCATTGTAATACTTACGACTGTTTCCGCCCAATCATTTCTTTACAAGTTTTTACTAAAGAAAGTCAGTGTTTCTAGTCTAATAGGAGTCATGACACTGTACGAAATATTAAAGAAAGTATTCTAGTTGTAAGCACTTTCTTATTTCATTAGGCACATCTTGCTAGTACTGTGGTGGACCCCGTTTTTAATTCAGAACTGTTAATTCTTGGTGGCAAAGATTCAACAAGGTGCTGGAAATATTCCTGCAGCATTTTCATCCATAGTGACATGATAGCATTGCACAGTTGCAATTTGTCACTGCATCACATCTTTCTATTGGGGATTGGACTGAGACCCACTAACTGAGGCCATTTGAGTACAGTCAACTCATTGTCATGTTCAAGAAATCAGTTTAATGCAAGATTCGAACTCTCATTCAACTGTCACGGCAGAAATTAAGATTGATTGATCAAAGCAACATTTTTCCAATCTTTTGTACAGCTTCAGCAAACCTGTGTGAACTACAACCTCAGTTTCCTGCTCTCAGCTGACAAGAGTGGCACGGTGTGGTTTTTTGGCTGCTGTAGCCTATCAGCTTCAAACTTTGAAGTGCACTTCCTGCTCTTGTTTGATAACAAGTGGTTATTTGAGTTACTGTTGCCTTCCTCAGCTCAAAGTAGTCTGGCAATTTTCCTTTTACCTCTGGTATCAACAAGACATTTTCACCCAGAGAACTGCCATTCGCTGGATATTTTCTCTTTCAGACCATTTGCTGTAAAACTAGAGATGGTTGTGTGGGAACATCACAGTAGATGAGCAGTTTCAGAAATACTCAGATCAACCCGTCAGGCACCAATAACCATGCCATGTTCACTCATGCTTGTCACTTTTCTCCATTCAGACACTGAACTTCAAGAGGTACTCTTGACCATGTGAACATGCCTAACTGCAGTGATATGCTGTCAAGATTGGCCAGTTAGATATTTGCTTCAATTGGCAGTTAACTGGCCACCCAGTTAGCATCCTTACATCACATAAAAATCTCATTTTGGATGTTTTCAAATCAATAAAATTTCAAATCATAGCTGCAGAAAAATCTGTTTGTACCATCGATGTTGAGCATCATGTTCCACATGGCAGGACGGACAGACTGATGGAAACCAAACCACACCTCCCTGCCTCCACCAAGAGGATGGTAGTAACCCTCCGGAGGAGAGAAAAACGATCGCCCCACTGGAGTGTACCTGTGTGTAACCGAAAAACAAATTTTAGGTTTTATATTATCTAATTATTTTTGTATTTATTAACAAACCAGATGTTCACTTAACCATTAAGGTATATTTTTAAAACATGCAATAAAAAAAAAAAATCCAGACGCATTAGTCTGAAAGACAAAAGTGGGCATATGAGCATGCTAATAACTGCTCTATTGATCTGCATATTCGTAGTACAATGAATTCTTGATATGTTTAAGTCCCTCTCTCCTAATTACATCTGTGTTTACATTACTAAGTTATAACAGCTTTTAGTGAAAATTTAAGCCATTATTCTGACATTAGATTACATCAACAACACTGCAGAAAAGACGTGAATAAGCTGGTGATGCGTTTGTAAGTCATGGGTGAAAAGCCGTACCTCATGGAAGGCAGATGCCTTGTGATGACATCCAGAGCCTGAACGGAGTCCTCTGGCACCTCGTTAAGGTGACCCGACAGGGCTTCCAGCAGCATCTGAAGACTCACCACAGAAACCCACTGCAAGGACACCTTGAACGTCTGATCTTTCCCCTCACCAGGTAGGGTGACCTCCAGATCCACCTGAGGGCAGAAGAGGGCCAAGAATGATGAAAACAAAAGCTCAGCGAAGGGACATTGGTTGTAGAATGTGTGACAAGGGGTGATCAAAAAACCCAGAAATGCAAAACAAAGAATGTAATCATTTTTCGGATTACAAATAGATGAGCTAGAGTCACAATGAAGAATCAAGGGGTATAAACCAGACAAAAACTGAAGGAAAGGACTTTAAGTTACCAAAATAAAGCAAATGAAATGTCAGTAAGTCATAAAAATGGCACCAAAACACTTTAACTGGTCATGCAGATATTAGTAACCCACTTTGTATTACTGAGATCTCATTTCCACATATACTGGCCAGAGAAAAACATAGATTAAATTATTGGAGTGAAATTTATAGTTTCCTTTAAACATAAATTTTCATCATCAGGCTTTTTTGTCAGCTTAAATTACATAGTCGATGAAATATGAATGCCTGCATACTGCATTTTCTATTAGAGGTCCTATCTAAAAGACCCCTCAGACCAGCACAGATCGCATTCCTGTTCCAGACTTTCCTAGAAATCCAGTTGGAAACCTTTCACTCAATTATGTAGTCTACCTCCTTAAGCTGAGCCAGTAACCCATTTAATACGCCTGCCATTTCCTTCTTAAAATATGATCTACAATCACTGAGGTATGCCATTAAATACAAAACTTATCCCTTTATGGTGCATTAGAGCTGACAGTTTATGTGCCTGAAATACCAACCCTGTCCCTCCCTATTGGCAGTGGATGTGCTGTGTACATGTTCCTCTTCCCATCATAGCCAGGCTGTCGGTCACCAAAAATCTGCATCTTGAAATGCCGGACCATGGTATCCACCACCTCCCTACAGAAGCGAGGTCCAACAGGATAGTCAGGGCACATAATCAACATTCAGAGACATTTAGGCAGTCTGGTTGCAAAAGCAACAGATCAAAACGATCAGTATCTTCATGAATCTTTACCTGTTAACCCTTCGTGGTCGTTTCTCAGGCTTGATCTCAATATCATAGTGATAGACATCAATCTTGGGAATCTGCACCTGGAAGTGGTTGGCAAGGAGCCGGATGGGTTTCCCCACCGTGCCAAGGCCGGGACGCCGTGGAGGCTGAAACAGAGAGGTAGGGGCGGGCGGGCCTGAAAGGAAAAGAGTAATAATTTGCAACACAATAACAATAAATTGATTCCCTAACGTCCACATTTGAGACAATTCTCATTTTAAACTTCGCATAAAGCACATTTGGCATTTAACTGTGTATAAAGGTGGTGACAGCTTGTTTAGCTTGCCATTAAATGTCATGTCTGATGGATGAATGTGCACCGCGCAACGCCAAGCTCATTGGAAACTCTCATTAGTGACACCTGCTTGAATGCACTAAAATGGTCTCGAACCCTGAAGGGCACATGCATGCTTTGATTGATCCGTAACTCTGGCCCCTGACCTACATGGGTCAACAAGGGGCTGGCGAAACAATGACCTCCAATTATCCTTCAACCCGCCCACTGCTCCACCCAGACACACAGGGTGCCCACCCTTTACGCCGAGACAAAGACAGCGCTCTTCTCAGACAAACAGCAGTGGGACCATATGGAGGGGTGCCATGCGGACAGTCTGGGATTACCGTTACAGTCCGCATCCAACTCCCATACATACAGAAACGTACATATACACAATTTACGCTAGTACATGAGCCTCAATTTTAATCATAAAAGCCGCAAGTACAGAGGAACACAATATATGCACATATACGTGCACAAGACCTCAAGCTTCCTGTTACAGTGAACCCAATAATGATTCATCTCTCAAATATCAACACTACTGATTTGCATCAACACGGTAGGAAGGAGGGAATGTGGTGCTTATTCTGTCAAAATCATCAGCTGATATGGCTAGCCAAGCATTACTTGGCACAAGAGCGCCTAAAAGGCTTAAAAATCAAATATCCTAATACAACTCTCTACAGGAGGGGAAAAAAGCTTTTGAATGCTTTAGCCAAACTAAAGCATGCACAAAATTTAAGCACTTAAAAGGAAATATATATACTTATGTGTAAATATAATAAGTGCTGGTAGCACCAAATGTTGCCTAATGCTTTTGTCAACTGCCAGCTAAGGGACTGCGGGGGTCCTCCTAAACTCCGTGCACCCACACGCTCCAGTTAACAACTGAAGCGTGAGAGCACAGACAACTGAGACCCTCCCCATCGCTTCCTAAAAACACGCTTCCCAACATGCCCTCATCTAGCCTGCGCACCCCAGATCACCCTCCTCCTCCCTCCTCTATTCTACCCACTCCTCCTCCATCACATGAACAAGCCATTAGTTCTTATGAAACATTATGTTTGACGATACGTGCTCAAGTAAGAAGCCATTTGTTGCACGTCTGCTTTTCTCTGCCACGATCTGGAAATACTCTGATGAGTCATTTAAATTTGTCCTACTGGCCTTGTTACAGATAGCAACAAAAGGCATACCAAATGTTCCACATTATGCTTGAAGCTACACGTCTCTGCATATGTTGTACTCATCATTTGTGTTGGTGTATGTCACAACTTACAGGCAGGATAATTTGCTTATGTAACATTTTGTCTCCAACGTGGGATTTTGTCACACTTGATCCTTCAGTTCTGCAAAACCAACACCTTTGATGCAGCTGTGTTTTACTAGGGAAGGAATAGTCCTCATTGAGGTACTTTTATTCATTGCTGCCTTATACTATCATTTGGCAGCTCCAGCTCCAACTTTTCAGATTTGTTGATGCATATATTCTAAAGTCAAACCAATGTAATAAAGTACAACTTTTGTCATTTAAAACAGAAAAATATGAATGACTTGGCGTAAGTAAAAATTGATTTGGTGAATCTTATATAGCACTTTTCTACTCTGACAAACCCAAAAACTCTATGCTCTATATAAATGCTATCTAACAATCACACACATTCACTGTCCGATGGACACATTGGAGAGCAACTTGGGTTAGCATTTTGCCCAAGGACATTTGGCATGCAGACTGGAGGGATCGAACCAACAACCTTCCAATTAGCAGATGACCTGCTCTAACACCTAAGCTACAGCCAACCCAAAGACATTTTAAGGCTTGTACAATAATTCCTATAATGCAACAAGTAATAATGACACATAACAAACATAGCAATAGAAAATGGGCCCATTTGCCAAATTATTTTAGTGCAGGCTTAGCATGGACAAAATTTCTGCATTCAGCCATCTGCATAAATAATACACTCTTATAACAATCCCACTTTGTGTCTATACAGCTAACAGACGACCTGCAATCAACTGCAAAAACAACTTCTATTTCGTCTACTTTTGTGCATATGCACAGATACCTTTGCACACAGATTTTTGTTTTCAGCCCACTGTGTGAAAGTAGCAGAAAGTGTTTTTAGTATAGACATGATGCACAGCAACTTTGAGGGCTTCCTCTTCCACCAAAAACAGAGCTGTGCCTATATTTAGCCTCCTCAGCTGCTACATTACTACACTTAGAAATGTGTCTCAATGTGAAATGCCTAAAGTCATCCTTCCTCCACAACCACTCTTCTCTCCACTAACACCCCCCCCCCCAACTTGACCCAACATGAACTTTAAAATTGTAAAATATGAAAAGCACCCAGCATGAGATAGAAACTGATAGTTTTGTCTGACCAACTGTCTAAAGCTCAACTCTTTTCCAAGTACTTGTAATCCAATAACTAACAACTTATAGCAAATCTGAGTGTAACTGCTGGCTTTGCTGCCACAGGCAAGAAAAATATAGATCTACTTTTAAAGTTAAACATAAATAATTAAGTTAGTATTGGATGACAATCCTAAAGTAAATCCGTTGGGCATGTTTCTTTGCCTTTAGACAATAATTCTGATGGCAAAGGAACCAAACGGGACAGGCAAACAAAAAAAACAAGTATTGGATGACAATCCAGGCGACTGAACATTACACAAAACTTAAGCCACACATGTGGATAACACATTTCACTTTAAAGACCTTCTGAGTAAACATGGTCTTGTATTTTGTGAATGTCACAAGCTCATTCTCAGTAACAGCACTTTCAACTGCACAAGGGGTCGCCACAGTGGGCAGCTCCAAATGTTTGATTTGGCAGTTTTTACACCGGACGCCCATCCTGACACAACCCCGACGGGATCCGTCTTTCCTCCTGGGATCACACTGGGGTATCTCTCTCTTGTCTGGCAAATATGTAAACCACTACACTATGGAGCTACAAGGCACAGTCAATTAAAAAAACAAAACAAAAACCAATATTTAATACAGAGCCTACATATTTTAGCAAACCTGTCAGCTGCACTAACACAAGACAGCAGTGACAATCTGCCCAGGTCTTTTAATTCATTTTTTCAACCAGAACATTAATGAAGTACTTAAACAGTGCTGAATACCATATAAATAGCAGCTCTCACATTTACAGCGAGCTTCCTCCATAATTTGTGCTTCTGCTCCAAATGAGAAAGAGTTGCATCTACTTTGAGTCACAGAGGAAGTGAAATTAACTTTCCCCCCTTACACACAAAATGACAGATGCACTAAAGGCAAACAAGCCTTCCTTTTCAAAGCTTAAATCCAAACTGACCATAAACATGGTACAAAGATTTCCGCCTGCCTATCTTACTGTAACACCCCACCCCCAACTCTTCACTGATCTAATTTAGACAAACCATTAGATCGTGTGCAGTGTACTCACACTTTCTGAGTAGGGTTTCCTACTAATGCACTGTAGAGCCTACTAATGCTATGCATGTCCCTGGTAACCACAGTGGAGCATAGACAGCTGGGCTTAAAGCTAAGCACGAGGATGATGGCTTGGCCCTGCGATGAGTCAGAGACTAAGAGCACCGAACAGGGAGTACACTGACGCCCACACCTGAAAATCACCCGGATTAAGGTACTACACCGAACAGGAGAAAGAGGAGATGCATTAAGAAAGGCTTAGTGACCATTCACAATGTAGAAATATCCACACATCAGTGTAGAGATGTGCAGAAGAATCAGGCGAGCTGACTTAGATGATTTTAAATGTAAAACAGGATGTCTTACTGACCATGTTTACCATTACGAATTAATGCATTTTCCAAATGGGATCTTATACTTCAAAATTACTACACTTCCTCTCAGTTTCACTCAGTGTCCTCCAGGCTTTTGTCTTTTCACTCATCTCTGCATATTCATCATGTTGTGTGACTCCACCACAATTTCGAGACAACAACAACCCAATTCAGAATTCTGTCACTGAATAGGCCACTCACTGCTGCATTTCACACCTCTAAGAACAGACAGTTGACCGTCTGCTTTACATCTTTCCTGTGTTTGAAGACATCCCCACCACTGAACAAGAGTATTGTTGAAGCACGACTAAACGGGAGACAGCAGACACACAGAATGGGCTACAAGACATTACTGTAACTGTAATTTAGAACAGTTAAAAACTGCAACTAAGGCCGTCACAATATTAAAGCTTTGCGTTTATTTTGGTCATAAAGAAAGGAACGCGATTAGATATTAAGCATGTATAGAAATTTTGAAAAAGAGTCAAACTTATTTCTAATCCATTCAGATTTACTTCACACCTGCACCGTGGCCAGTTTGCATTATATTAATATTATATTATTATTAATAATTCAATATTAATAAAGATTAAGCACTGCCTTTGAAAAGGGCAGCAAAGCTTTACAAACATGCCAAAAAGAGAAATTCTAGAGCAGTGTTCACAGATCATATTTATATTCATCACAAAAAAACTCATTGTTACGTCTGCATCTATGAACGTGTAAACAAAGGCTTTGATAGAAAAATCTCAATTCAAACTCCACAACCTAAACACTTGCTGTAGCAAAGTACACACAGCAGGCACAATAAGCAATCACTAAAGTATAATAATAAATGCTGATTACTTGGGAGTCATTATTTCATTTCATTATGTGCAGCAATGATCCAAACACACCCCTGAAGGATAGATAGGATGCATTGTCCCCAGTAAGCCTGGACCCTCACAGCTTCTTGCATCCATTTAACATTTTCTGCAGGAGCACATTTCCTGTTTAAATAACACATCTAGTGCTTCCTAATGCCACTACCTTTCTTCTGATTCTTGCGGGGAAATGTGTGGTCATTTAGAAAGTCAATAAATAAATAATAATAATAATAAACCATGTCAATGCTGTCGCATGAAGACTTTTCTGTTGCAAGATGCTTCGTTTATGAAAAGGCGCGTTTCCCACACACACAAAAAAGAACACAATGTCTCCAGTGGGGTGGGGGGGAATATGACCTAAACATATTTTGCAGCTTTGTGACAATAACACTGCATATTGGACTGATGACCGCACAGGTGCATGATTTGACTTCCCACTGCATGCCTTTATTGCATCAAAATACGTGCCTTTGTTATCATATAGGAGACTATAATGGAGCTGGCCTGCAGATCTGATCGATAAGAGCGCCATCCATCCCTGCTGTGCTCTCACGGGCGCATGGCTGCTGCCCAAGGAGAGGCGCGCAAACCGATGACCACCTCACATTAAAAAAAAAACCACAAAATCACCACATCTGCAGAGTAAACGTGTTTTGTTGGCATTCATTTTGTCTTCCCAAACCATCGCTGTCATCTTGGACGGGCGGGGAGGGGGGTGTAAGAGACGAGCTTGCCTGCTCCTGATGGCGATGCAGGCAGATTTATATGATTTAACTGAGAGGGGGATTTTGCAAAAACACGTTACATTCCGCCGTATTTCGACGCAAACGCGCAGTCCCCTTGAAACAATCGGGTCGTAAAGGCGTGAAACGCCGAATAAACACAGCGAAACCAAACAACGTAAACACAGCACGACGCGGAAGGAAGGAAGGTCCCAGTTAAATCCCCACTCACACAATGCCAGCCCCGACACGACGAGTAGAGCGTGCCTGACATAAATATAACCCTCGGACACGGCGGGAGAGTGGATAAAAACAACCCCCTCCGGTACTAACAGGAAAAGGAGCCCCCCTTGGTTCGATGTAATTAACGTACTACGAGTACGTACACAAACACGGGCTTGGGCCTCGGCTTGTTTTCCCGTCACAGCGAGGCCTCGCTGCAGCCACGGCCCCCAGTGAAGCGACGCATTTGCGCACACGCGCCCCACACACGGCTCGCGCTCACAGCTCCTCGCTCCGCTCTCGCTTTCTTAAAAATCCTTACCGGGTCCGAGCGCTTCCATGGCCGAGGCCTCTCTCTCCGTCTCTGTCCCGGCCTGGCGGCTCCGTACCGACGCTGAAATTGGGGGCGGTATCTCGAAGCTTGAAAGTGGCTAAATTTAAGAAACGGGAGTATAGATAGACGCGTGGACGACTGCTGACTGGGCTGACCTGAACTGAGCTACCGCCGCTGCCGATGCTGCTGACGGTTTAGATATGCGCATGCGTCGGTTACAAGTGGCAAAATACACCGTAGGCTACCGCAGAGATGCAAGCAGTTGTTTTTACTAGTTATACTCTAAATTTCTTTGTTTGTGAGTTAAAATTAAATACAGCTTAAACAATATAGCATCAATAAGTATAATAGCATTTTACACTATACAAATTACCCTTGTATTCATTCATTTTTCTATTATATCTTCAATTCATTTTCTCATTCATTCGACGCCTGAACGTCTCCAGTGTGGGATTAATAAAGTTTCTGTCTGTAAGCAGAGTATATACTAAATATTTGTTACACCAAATAAAAAAGATCAAAGTTTCTTAATGCTTAATTGTGCTGTGAGACATCAAAACATTTAAAGCAAATCTTGTGTAAGTTTTTTTTTGTTTTGCTTTTTCAAACTGAGAAGCTTTTTAAGTGATACTTTCCAAGCAAGGTGCACATGCCCTGCTTTATTTTATCTGAATAAAGCAGAATAAAAGGTAGCAGCTTTTCATCCGTTTTTGTTTTTGTTATTTACTTGGATTATATCATAAGAAATCTTATTTTTTGAGAAGGGGTTAAGACCCCCAAACAGGTTGCTGTTCGAGTTTAAGATTTAAATTTGAATGTTTTTGTTTTTCCTTTGAAGATTTAGTTGGGACTTGTAGAAACATGGTCACAAAATAAAAATAAAGAAGAGAAACCCAAGGCAAGATATAAAATCTGGGCATCCTTACCTCTTCTAAATCCAAACCGGTCTTCATACCTCCTCCCTTTTCCGTTGCCTTGCTTTGGTAGTACATAACGCTCCAGGAACCGCCTTAAAATATAACCGTATTTTTTCTGCAACAACTCCCAGTTCATGGTTTCTGCTGTCAAGACGCTATAATTGGACGATACGCTCAATAACAGCCCCACACGATTCTCGCTCCGTGGTACCAGCTCGTTGCTCTTAGGCAGTACCATTGTTGCTACTCTACCTCCTCCAGTAGGATACCTCCACACTGAAATAAAAACCTGCGCTTAAACCCCTGCTATATACCTTTTTTCACCTGGACACGCATGCGCAGTTGTCTTAAGAAGTCACATCTGAAAAACTTTGTGTCAATAAAACTGAAACAATATTAGAATGATAAAATGTTTTTTTTAAATGCTGTAAATTGGAAATAAAAACCTAATGGCCAAGTATGTGCATTCAAGAAGTAGGACTCCAGTTTGGTTCTTGCTCTCTGTGCAGTGGTTCAGAGTGCAAGATGTTGAAATAAATTCGCTTATTGATAAGTACATTTGGAGTGGAACATTGTGTTAGTGTCAGTTGTTGATTGATCATTACGAATCATCTGTTCAACTATATAGCAGAGCTGAAAAAACTGATTAAAGATCAATGTCGCTTGTTGATTAACCTAGAGTATCAGCCTTTGGGTGGGGATGTGGGGGTGGGGGTGTCAGTTTCGGGGGTTATTGTTTGGTCTAACAAATGAAACTTTGGGATACTGCTAAAAATCCAAATGTTTCATTCAACCTTGCAAAAGACACAAATGTATTAAGCTGCAAAAACCTGGAAAAAATACTAATTAACAGAAGTCAAGGTTATGCAACTAATTTTGAGAAACAGACAACTCTTAGATATATAATATGCATCATTAATTGGATTAATTAGTATCAACAAAGCGCCGACTTTAACACTTGATTGGGGAATAGTGGGTTTGTAAGTAGAATTGCACAGAAAAATCTGTGTAGATGGACAAAAATGTGGAGAAATTTAATGGTTTTGAAATGTCTGGGTAGTAGGTCTTTAAAGAACAAATAAGCGATAAATGATTAAATAAAGATATCACTCCATTATGCAATGCCATTTTCCTTGCAACGGGACAATGGAATAGTTGCAAAACGGTGCATTTTCAATAACTGTGCTTTATGATTAATTACCATTACAATAAGTGTTAAAGTTGTTCTGATATTTGGAATTTTTTCCTTTTTGTTTCTTCTCCAGCAACAACCCCCACCCGCCGGAGAGGTCCCGGGGATTAAGCAAACGCTTTTGCATTGCAGCGTAGTCAAATTAGGCGGGACAGCTGCGCCAAACAGACCAATAGGAAATCGAGAACACTGTGATTGACGTCCCGGTGACGAAAAACTGTGGGCCAGCTGTCACGGCGCGCGAAACATCAAAATTTCTATTCGGTGTGTATGGAACAGGCGGGAGGAAGATAACTTTTCCGGCTAAACGCTAACTAAATGTCAATTAAAATACAGAAGCACCACTGGTCGCTTTGACGGCAACTTGTCCACGTTTTTCAGTGGCTAACACGAGAGTACGAGGTACCGTCTGAGCCTGTTTATTTTGCAAAAAAAGAACGTAAACTAGCCAGCGGACAAAGATGAGCTTGCTTTCTCAACAACAGGTCAGGCAATGCTTTGGTTTGTCAGTGATTATCTTGAACTTCTGCCTAACCTTTCTAGACTTGCATATATCGCTCTGTTTGATTGGGTAGTTTTTGTTTGGTGGAGATTGGCAAGATCGAAAGAAATATGCTAACTGCACATTTCGTTAGCCACCTAGCTTCCTGGCTAGGTTAGGTTTAGCTCAGCTCTTTTGGATAGTGATAACTGGCCTGGGCCTTTAAAGCGTGTCAATTTGACATTTTAATTTTAAATCCTTTTGTTAAAGTAAGACCTAGGTGACGGACAGCCGTATCTGTTGCCTGAATGGTGATAATTAGAAAGTCGAAAGGCAGACATGCTGCTCATTGTTTGGTTTACTTCAAGGCGCCAGTCCTGTCAACGAACAAGCGTTTCGCTGCTCAAAGTGACAAAAGTGACACCCATCCTCTGTGTAAACACCCCCTGTTTTTGTCAAATGCAGAAACATGCTATCCTGTGGTACTTTTTTTTTTAAAATTAGCTATGCAGCAATTTGGGTTGCCCTCCATTTGAAACGAATTCCTAGTGTTACTAGATTTAACAAAAGCAGTCCCACACTACATGGATCTCAATCAAGTAGCCTAAACTGAACTTCTACCCTTGCTTTAGATGAACTGTTTTTCAGTTGATACTTAACCTCAAGTTTTTTTTTCCACTAAATACCTTTTACTCCCCCCATGCAGCAACAATTCATGTGTATTGTCTGCTACTGTATGCAGGCTGAGGCACTCCCAGTGGTGGCCCAGACCGCAACAGAGAGTGATTCAGACAGCGGGGTGGGCTCACCAGCAGAGGAGATGACTACAGACACCTCTAACAAAAGAGAAGGTCGTTCAGGTAAAGCAGCATAACAATGAGCCACTCTGGCTGTGTAAATGAGGTATGCATTTATGCAACTGCCTGTGACACCAGAGTAGGCAGAGAAACACTAGTTATCATAACGAGCCAGTCTGACCAAAGAATCAAAGCTGCAGTGCTTTAGAAAATATACATTCAAAGGTTATAAATGAAAGCAAACCAGTATCTAAAAGATGTCCAGTTTCCAAAGGACCAAATTTATTTGAAAAATAATGAAGGCAAAGAGTAACGTATCAGTCCAAGGGAAATTCTGTAGGAAATAGTATAAATACTTTAATAATGAAGTATTTCACTCTCCCTGGACTCATATTTGTTTTTCTTCAGAAGGGTTTTATATCAAGGTGTTCTGTATATAATTGTCCTGCATATAAGAACTCTTGGTGCTCACTGAAGATGTTTTTTCTCTTCCATCAAAGAAATTTCATCAGGGCTGTGAGCCAAACCACTCTCTGAGGACATATGTTGTTTTTGACTTCTGCTTTTTCTCCTGCCTTGAAGCTCCATTTCCCCCTTTTTTATTTTGTGACCAATATGTCCACTCTCCCACTTTAACCACATTAAGTTTGCTTTACCTGTCTCTTAACTTTGTCTCCAAACTACTCAACTTGCAGCTTATCTGTTTAGTCACTCCCAGAGGCCTGTTTCATGTTGAAAATCTCTTATTTAAATTACAAAAAGACATTACCGGTACATTTTTTAAAATACCTTTTATGTTTTGGTCTTCCTTTTTTATTTGTATTTCATTTATTTATTTATTTTGGTTAAACAAAAATATGCATTAGAATAAAATTCTACTTGAATTTATTTTTCTCACTGTTTAGTGCAAACTCGAGTATTTTGTTTCATTACACATTGATATGAGCTGGGATTACCACTCTACCATTTTCTACCATTTTCATTTTACTCTATTCTAATTTTCTAAATTGGTTGGTTTTGCTGTCTTATTTATCAGATTCTGATGACGACGAAGACATCACGGTGCACAGAAAGCCTCACCGTAATGCCATTAGAGACAGTGACAGCGAGGAAGAGGCGGCAGCTGCAGATAGCAGCGTACACATGGCAGAAGCACTAGTCTTATCTGCTTCCAGTGGAGAGGAAATGGAGACTGAGAAGGACAAGAAGAAGGAAAAGGGACGACAGAAGTGCAAGAGAATAAGCCGAGCTCCTGTTGATAGCGAGGACAGTGAGCCTGAGGAGGAGAAAAGTGGAAAAATGGAGGAGGAAGAGGGGAAAGTGGTGAAGAGGAAAGTGAAATCCACAAAAGAAGTGAAGGAAAGAGAGAAGAGCAGGAGACATCATGAGAAAAAGGAAAAGCGCAGCAAAGCGGTGGAAAAGCTGAAGAAGAAGGAGAGGTTCTCTGAAAGGGATGAGGTGAGTTCTTTAGTGTCTGAACTCTTTTTGGCTGGTGTTTGATACATCAAGGGTTCTCACACACATGGGCAATAATCCGTCCTGTGGACTGTCTCAGCCCGGTCTATAACATATTATTAAAAATAATAAAATCAATAAAAGGTAGAATTATGTTTTTGAACCGCAAAGTGAATGATTGTCAGCAAAGTGGACTACGCTTACATAGGTGAAGAAAGATTTTATGTCAAGTACGTTACATGTTAAAAGTTATATACCATTTAAGTAGATTTTTTTTAATGTAATCATGTGGCCTTTCGATCACTTTATTTAAGTCAGTGTGACCAGAAAAAAGACAAA